ATAACCCAAATAACTGGTTCGATTCCCCGCTAATGAAAAAATACTTAAATGAAATGTAACCAAGGTTGGAGTCATGAGTTTTTATTCATCGTGTAGGTATGTTTATTATTCTCATGTATTCAGTTATGTACCTATTCAGATTAGTCTAGTACTAAGTTATTTAAAAAAAATAGGTATGAAACAGCTTACCGCTCTAAATCCTCCGTGGTCTTATGAGATGCGGCTCAAATTGTGCTCCATTCATTTCAAGGAAGATTTGGGTGCAGGCGGGGCATCATCGTGTGGTCTTCGACACAGTCCGTACGTAGTTTCTCGAAAGCATCCACGATCCTTTGGCGCATTTCTTCAGCACTATCACATTCACGATTAAAAACCCTTTCTTTCACATACCCCACAAAAAGAAGTCTAACGGAGTCAGATCTGGTGAGCGAGGTGGCCAAGCGTGTGGTCCTAGTCTGCCGATCCAGCGATGTGGAGGGGCACCATCATGTTGGAACCATGTGCGGCCAACGATAGGTCGTTTAAAATGTCAACCAACTGTTCATTTATAAAGTTTAGGTATAGCGATACCGTTCAGTCGCTCTGGCAGAAACACTGGTCCCAGTATGCGATCCTTAAATAAACCTGCCCATACGTTAACCGACCATCGGGTTTGGTGCCCGGTTTGTCGAACAGCGTGCGGGTTAACCTCTGAATACACGTGTGTATTTCTTCGGTTCTACAGGCCGTTTCTGGTAAATGTCGACTCATCCGTCCAGATAATGTGCTCAATGGAACCAGGCACACGTTGTTGCTGGTATAATAACCAACGGCAGAAAACTCGTCGGCGGTCGTGATCGCCGGAAACTAAAGCTTGCACTTTGTGCAATTTGTATGGGCGCATTGGTTACGCTTCAACACTTTGTGCACTGCACAGTATGACACACTTGTTCCATCCCGACGTCTTAACAATTTATTTAGCGATACTTCGTGTACCTAGGTTCGGATACCTAACTTGTTGCCGTATTCATAATCACTATAAACGTACGCGTGTTAAGCATTATTAAAACAAAAAACGTAACAACAAGAATAATACCAATAGGTAATCACAAGTATTAACAATTTAATAAAGAAAACGATTGAGCTGTCGCTCGTGCACGCGTGTACAAAATCAACACGGAACTGTTTCAAAAACTACAATTAATAACGAACCCCGACAAAATTGAAACCTACTGCGTCACAGCGTGAGGCGACACGAGCCGGCCGGGTTACATTCTGCCGCCATAATAAAGAAGGACGCAACTAACAAAAACGTAAAATGGTAATTAAAAATAAATTTATGAATTTTTATTTCAGACCCCGTGTCTAAAGTATATTAAAAGGTATCTATATGAAAATTGAAATATGTACGTAGAGACATGAAGATTTTAAGGACGAACTTATTTTGTTGATAATTTGTTTATTTATTTAAATAAAACGAATTTTCCTTTTCATCTTAGATTAAAAAATACACCTGGCAACACAAAAACATCGAAGGAAAGACGCATATAACTATTTGCGTCTTCCCAACCTAATAAATAAAAAAAACTGCCATTCATTTAACATTTTTACATATTTTGGAAAGGTCATTTGAAGTTGAAACGACGCTAATAGTAATTTACTACTTTTTTCTTAGTAAATATTAGAAAAGCATTGGTAGTCAGACACAAAAAATAACAACCCGCAACTCTTGAGTAATGATTTTAAAGGGGATATCATACAAGACTTACTACGATAATAATTAAAAATTAAAAATTTTGTACAACCGACTTTAATATAAATAATTAAGGATGACTCAAAAACTATTGGTCTGACCTCGATCAAATTTATATGGGACCACATGTGAAACACCAGCTCTTAGTAATAAGATATAAGCTCTTAATAATAAGATATAGAATAAAAAGACAAGAATAATTGAAATTTAAGTAATCGATGCAAATATTGTTAAAGATGACGTAGCCACTAGTTAAATAAGTCTTTTCTTTTATGTTGAATTTGTATAAGTCTTTTCTAATAAAAAGATGTCATCTGTGATCAACAGTTACGTCTAAAATTCTTACGATAATTTCTAAAATATTGATATTTGTGAATATTAAAAAAAATTAGTAGATGCGCCTTCTTATCATGAGTCATGGTATATTTAACTCATTTATTCAAAAATTGTTAGATGCGCCCTTTTTTCTTACGACCGCAGCATTGTTTCGTACCGAGCTAGATACAGGTCGACAGCGGAGAGAGTGTGGGTACAGTCGCGTTCTAAAGTACTACATGGTATTGGGCTATTGTTTTATAATATTATAGTAATTAATTGTTTAATTGTAGAATCATAATAGGTGTTTTACTATTTACTTAGAACTTTGGAAGAGGTGGGAATAAAAAATGGATAATGTTTACTTGAGCATTATTTGTTATTTCTATCGTAAAATATAAAATAGTTTGTAACAAAAAAAACTTAAGCTAAGGGTGACACGCCGTCCATTATGACGTCTTGGGTCACATGAAAGTCAGATGTTGATGGTGTGTTGGTGTTACTGGATGCTACTTCATCATCACTTTCATCTTCCCTTGAGCTTCCGTCATCAGGTCGATCACATGGTAATTTTTTCGGTATTCTCCCTCAACACTTTATTGCACAATTTTCCCCATTCACCTTCTCCTATCATATTTACCTTTTCGTTCACTAGTTTAGTCATAAAACAATAGATATAAATAATTTTTGTTTCCTTCCTTTTTAAAACATCGTCGCGAGTCGCAAAGTAAGCTGTGTATGCGACTGTATATTTGGAGCGAACAAAGCGCGGGAACCAATAGCATGCAGGCACAGTAATACTGGCGGATTGTTCCCCCGTCGCGCCCCTTCGTACCTATATGTGATAAATCGCTCAATGTCCAAGTTCAAGGCCAGCGTTCTTTTTTCACCGTTCGCGCGTACATTAACCTCCATTAGTCAGGTGATATCAATTCAGTTTCTACTGCTGGTTTTATGTTTCAGTATTTTCATGATTTTTTTTATGAAATTATCGATTCATTTAGCTGTACTAACATGATGGCGCGTGAATAAAGCTAATAAAACGTTGTAAAAATATGATTTTTTTTTCATCAGAATCAAATTTATTTGTGACCCATGATCAAAGGTATACTTGGTGCTGTCGCCTGTCTTAGTTTTCGGGAGCGTTCCAAAAATACCCTGTATATTAATGCCCGACGCAAAAAAAGGGGTGTTATAAGTTTGTGTATCTATGTGTGTCTGTCTGTGTGTCTATATGTCTGTCTGTGTGTCTATAGCTCATAAATGGGTGAACCGTGTTGTTTTTTTATTTTGTATTTAATGTTGTTTTTTAACAGTGGTTCATAGACATGTTTTAACAAAATCGGTTAAACCGTTCTAATAGTACATTAAAAACGTACGTTTCGAAAACCTAAATAAAAACCGTGTTTAATGTATGTACGTTGCTATCGTTAAAAAAATACAACGAAAACTAAGAATAAATGCGGGCCGCGAGTTTGATATTGTAGTATGAAGAAAATAAATATTTATGTATATTTTGCCACATGTTTATTTTGCGGCCCGCCAATACAGTCGGTTGAGGAGCACTGCACTGCACTGCGCTACTGCTAAGTGCTAGGTAGTTGGCAACTTTGGCAAGCTAGCTATCTAAACAATCAAAGTAGACAAGTAGGTATGTTTAGTAGGGCAAGGATAGGTAGAGAAGAAGGATAAGCTTATTACTTACAAAAATACATCGAAATGGTCTTCACAGCAGTGCGCTTTAGTTTTAGGGCCTATTGAATAGACTCCCTCATTTTTGGGTCCTCAGGCACATAAAAAAAGATTTTATCAGGTGTTTTAACTGTTGAATTGAAGCACTGAGGCAAAATACAGTAATTTTTTTCGATTTTTACCACATAGAACTTTCATATTATGATTTTTACTTCGCAGCGGCGTGCAGACGAGAGCGCGATTGTTGTATGAGCGGGGGTGTGACGTCATCGCATAGTGAGAGCCCGCCCGCGTTTTTAAAAATCTCCATTGGGTAACACGCACTTTGATCGTTAATATCTCAGCCAATTTTTAAGATATGAAAAAAGTAAAAACACAGTTTTTCTCGTATTATTTTGTAGATTTATTTGGCATGTAAAGTAAAAAACGTTTGTCAGACCCATTCCATAGATTTTAAAAACCATATCATGCTTGATTTTCCTCTTAAGTAAGATTAGGAAATATCCCTTGCATATACAATTAAAAAAAAAACACATAGAAAGTTTACTTCAAGCCTAATGAAGTATAGATTTGATGATACTCATCAAATCAAATTAAAGTTACATATTGTCGTCCTACTGCTGGGTACAGGCCTATTATTTCTGTTTCTGAGGTTTATGGAATATTTGTACTTTAATGACTTAAATCACACCTCGGCGCGTCTGATCTCAAGAAATTACGTCCTATGATCTATGATTCAGCTTGATTTTGAATTTTAATATTGTTCAATAACGAACTTTAATGGAGTTTTCAATGTTGCTAATTAGTATAGCATGTATACTCCAAATTTCAGAATGCGAAATAACACAAAAAATTAGAACATTCTTGAAAGTCCCGAAATTCCCGGGACTGATAGACTGCCAGTATCGGTATCGGCAAAATTCTACGATCGGACTTGATTCCCGGGATTTTGAACCGTTAGGGCGCAAATTATACTTGCACTTGTCAGGTTTTCTGATGGAGTTTAGATATTTCTGCCGACTTCCAAAAAGGAGACGGTACTCAATTTTATGTATGTTTTTTTGTGTGTTATCTCATAACTTTTTACTGGGTGAAGCGATTTCGATGATTCTTTTCTTATTTGAAAGCTGGTACTTCTCGTGTGGTCCCATATGAATTTGATCAAGGTCAGACCAATAGTTTTTGAGTTATTATTAATAACTTATATTGAAGTCGGCTGTACAAAATTTTAAACTATTTCAATATATCTTTTGTTCTATAGGGTTATTAAATTCTCAAGAGTTGGATGCATTTAAAGAATGGTCTAGTGATTTAGATATTAATCAAGAGAAATTTTTGACATATGAAGGAAAAGATGAAATGATATTACTAGCTGAGAGAACTCAGAAAAGGTTTCCTAATGTATTAAAGCGGAAATATAATAATCATTCATTTGAGGTAAGTTTATTTAAAAATTACTTAATGATTATGACTTGTGGCTGTGGGTGATTGAAGTGCCCTGTTCAAAGTGGTTAGATACCATGAGGGCCTCGGGGGTTCAAATCAGCTAATAATAATCACTGGATTTCTTATAAATGAAATTAGTACTCGGGCACTCATTGATACACTGTAATTTGAATTTAATACAGAAAAGCCGTCGATCAGTCACGTAAGGTCAGGTTAATGTAAAATGCGACAACGTATGCGTGCTGTTCTCCCGTGTGACTAAAATTCCGACCTACGCAACGATATCGCCTCCGCACCCTTCACTTGTTGCGTTTAGAAATTAGCTTGGCTTTAAAAGTGCATTTCATTCTGGTTTAACCTTTATTTCAGCAAATTTTTGAATTCTCGCAACACTGTCCTCGCCGACATCCGGACCGTAAGACCGTATTTAAAATGTGTGTTGGTTATCATTATTGTTAAAGGTTCGACAGTAATACCACGCGCGCTCAAAAGCACCGCCCTGGCACTTGTTAAAGGCCTTATACATGGTGCATCTTGCTGTATGTTCCGCCAAGGTCATGCACGATACACTATGAGAAACGACAGTGTAGTGGTTTGACGTTTGGCAATAATAATTATTAATTATTTTGCATCCGGTAAGGCGGCAGTGAGTCTCGTCACTACTTTTCTTCTCTTGGTGATGGAAATGGGCCGGAATGGCTCATAGCTTGCTCTTTTTCTAAAATTTTATGCATTTTTTTAACACTTCAACAATAACACAATTATGTCGTATTCTAATCAAAGATCATAAGAGTATTTATTTTAAAATGTTACTGTTCCTGGGTAGTAGTGACTGATGTTATACTGTGTATATCTGGGTAGTAGTGAGTGAGTTTTGTTTAACTATTTATGCACCGATTCCTTAATTTATAGTAGTGTATTTATGCAATTATTCCTAAGTAAGGACATATGGTAGAACTAATACAATGACAATTAATAGTTGCACTTTAGATGAAGTGGCATTCGATCTTAGTTCTCAGAAGTGAAAACGCATCTATAACGTTTTTTTGTTTGAATTTTTCTGCGGGTGTTCATAATATGGTAATTACCACCAGGTGAACTGTAAGTTCGTTTGTCACTTCAATTTTGTATAAAGACGAGCATGTTCATGAATTTAAATATTTTACTCAGTTGTACAATGTTTTTATAATACCTATGTTTCAGTTTCGTTACACAGCTACACAGAGGGCTCAACAAAGTGCCAGATACTTCACAATTGGATTATTTGATAAAAAGGATGCTCAGAATGTCATTTTCTCTCCAGCAACAAAAGTTGATATGCATTTAAGGGTATGCTTAAAATAAAAATATTTGAATTAATTTAGATCTGGCTCGAGGGACTAGTTTTCGTTATCGAGAATATCTGTAAAACTTAATTAAAAATATTGAAATCGTTACTACTGGCTTGATTAGGGTTGGGTCATAATTACCCAGTATGTTAATAGTTTGCAAATATTTTTGTAAGTAAGCACGCGTCATTAGAAGTGGGCGTTGACATTTTCATATACCTCTAGAGACATAGTAATGCTGAAACCTACACATGCACAAATGTTATAAACGTAAATATGGCCATTTAAACATTCAAAGTAACGATTTCGCGACGTTTTAAATACTTTCTACTTTGGTATTATACAATTATAATGAAACTAGTGAATTGTTGTGTACACTCCCGAAGGATTCTGAAAATAAAAATAATATTTTTTTGTTATTTTCTTTTATTATCAGATAAAAATTGTTATAATATTGCTATGCGGCACAGCTAAAAACCATGTGTTGCGTGCCGTTCAGTCTACATTTAAAATTTTAATTTATACTTTATGTTAACTTCATTAAGTTCACTTATAAATTTACTATCCAGACCATTTATTATGTATGCGCTGGTGTGCTCACCATATTTATTTTTCGATGGTATTGTTATAAATTTTTTTTGAGTTACTTTGCTGGACTAAATTTTTGCTTGAGACTGTATGCTGTATACCTAAATTAAAGAATTATTCTTTTAACAATTGATATTGGACTTTGTCATAGATATTGAGTACCTTGCAGTATTTAAATACAGTGGACCCCCGGTAATCCGACAAACATTATGCAGGGCAGTGTCGGACTATCGAATTTGTCGGATTATAGAGTACTGCCTAAGATAGTCCGGAATTTTTTATAAAAGAGTACCTTGTAATCCGACAAATTCCAGATCCAATGATAAGATTCTATATGTTATATATATGCACTCTGAAGTACAAATTATACTTAATTATGTATGTCAAATTTAGTAAAGTAAACAACACAATAGGGAGCTTATATTTTATTATAAAATTAACGTCATTAATGCTATAGAACTTACAAAAAATATGCAATAACTTCACATTAGGAAATAATTGTGTACAAACAAATGTACATACTAAAATAATCAAAAATTATGAATCAAGTTATAACTTGTTCAATCATGCATTTGCGAAGATTGTCAAAAATATCTAATAATAAATAATAGACTATGTCGGATTACAGGGGGTCCCGGATTAGACAGGGGCCGGAGGTACACTGTATAAAGTTTTCATTTGTTTTTGCCTGAAGTTTGATTTTTATAGGTACACAATCGCTTTTAAAATCCTAATATATTTGCTGATGATACTTCCTTGATTTTAACTTAAAAACTTAAACGTCTATCATTTAAATGTGACAAAGTGAATAATGCTATATCAAAATTAGTGCATTGGTTTAACATTAATAATCTGCATTTAAACTGCAATAAAATTAAATGTATTAAATTTATAACAACAAATGTTAAAAATCTTAATACCAATGTGTTTTTAAAAGGGAAAAACTGAGTCCTGTTGAATCCTCTGTATTTCTTGGCATCACTCTCGACTCAAAGCTTCAGTGGGGCCCCCATATATCCAAACTAGCAAGCAGAATAAGCTCTTCAGCTTATGCTGTAAAAAATATTAGAGATCTCTCTAGTGTCGAGACAGCTAGATTAGTTTATGTCAGTTATTTCCATAGCATAATGTCTTATGGGACTTTGCTATGGGGAAATGCGGCTGCTTTAGAAACTATTTTTGTTTTGCAGAAGAGGGCTATAAGAGCTATTTAGCCTTATACCGAGAAAGGCTCTTAGAGAAAAATTTAAAGAAATAAATATATTAACTTTGGCCTCTCAGTATATTTACGAAAATTTAGTGTATGTTCACAAAAACAAAGATAGTTTTAGTAAAAAAAGTGATGATATACACTCTGTAAACACTAGGAACAAACACAAGCTAGTGATACCAGTCTCTCGACTCCACAGAGTCAGTAGTTCAGTGATTTGTCTCTTCGTCTGTAGATGCTTAGCCCATAAGTTATGACTGAATCAGCAAGAGCGTTATAAAGCATCATTTTGACTCGAAAGTTTAATCGCTTTCTAATTATAAACATATTCCCCAAAAATGCACAATGTTCGATTTCTACGTGTTTCATCCGAATACGATAAAACTTTGGGAGAGCTGTAGAGTGCGCCCATGCGAAAGTTTTTAACAATAAAAAGGGTTGCAACGCATGCTGGTCACAGCTAGTTGAATGTACATACATATTATTGTGTTAGCATTGCTTTGTATCTGCGTTAAGAGTATGTATTTTTATTTTTAGTTCATATTTTCAATTATTTTTCAGTTTTATAAACATTGTGACAAGTGGCAAAAGCAAGTTAAGAAAAATCCCAATACATATAAGGAACAAAAAAAATTTGGTAAAAGTCGTATAATGAATGACACACTTGTATCTGTGTCTCAAAGGCTTGGTCTCAATAGAACATTGAGTCTAGGTTTGTAATAGCTTATGGGTAGTTACTGGCTTGCTATGCTATTTGCTGCATTATTTACACAGCATAATATGGTTTTATTTATCGCATTCCGTAAATATTTATGCCTTAAATGTGCAAATCAAATAATGTATGTGTAATGTGTATACTTAATATTTAGTTATTTTTATAAACATGCATAAATCAATTTTATTCAATGCCTTGAAAAATGGGGATTTCTTTACATCGTTTTTCATTTAAATCATGTGTTTTGTATTACAGGCACTGTAAAACTCATTTACAAAACTTGCGGTTACGAAACGTCATGGCGTAAGCACCATTTATCACCATGGTGTCATGCATTTGATCACCGTAGTGCTGAGGTAACATTATTTAGATAAATAGAATAGTTTTATATTATATGGTGTAACCAAAATTTTATTTTTATTAAATGTTGTTATAGTAATAATAGCCAATACACATTCTGTGAAAATTTTTTTCTACATATTACGGTTCATAAAATACAGCCTGCTGACAGACAGACGGAACGATAGTGGAAACTTAAGTCCCGTTGACACTCTTTGGGCACGGAACCCTAATAAACGGAAATAATGTTTTAATAATAAAAATAACAATTAATAAAACAACATATAAATATTAGGTCGTTTGAGCAATACTACAAAAATAAACATTAAATAATATAGAATTAGGTTATATTATAATAAGTTAAATGTATTATATTGTAAAATATATCTAGTAACAATAAATTCACATATAAAAATCTCAGCCACGGGGAACTTTATTTTTGTATACGCGGCAACACTGAATGGCGACTTTCATATTTTGTAACTTATTTCTGGCTCGTGTTATTTTATGTTGAAATTTCGAAATTGTATGATACCTACTGATAGTATGTGATCCCAGTGTCTTTCTTATTTCTTGTAATATTATTTTTACACAGTTTCACTACGCAAACTAGTATTTTACTTCGGATTATGATCAAAATTTTATAAAATATTCGGTACGTCCACATCACATATCGCCTGCAACGCGACTGGCTCGGGTACGCCGATCTCGGCGTAGTATTTGTTGCCGCATTTTACAAGAGCGCCGGCGGTATCTAGTCTGAGCGCGCGAAGTCCTATCATTAATCTAAGCGTCTATGTAATTTATTTCTAATTTGTGTTATTTATTGAGAGTAAATGTTTTATTTTTAGAGCATACACGCATGTAACAATTCCTGAAGTAAAACCGCTTCATCCCACAATGACCGAAAACGTTACCAGTTTTCCTGATGAAGTAGGAGGTTCTCTAGCCGAAGAAAAAACAACACCGATGTAATAGAAGACAGGGAAGATGAAAACATTAGTCAAATGGGGAACAGACGTCATTTGACAATGACAAAAAACAAAAAGATTCACATAGTATCAGATGTTATTATAAAAGATTCAAACAATGCTGAAATTTCAACCAACGTGGCCACGTATATTGGTACAGCAGCTGCACCATCTGATGCCAAAGAAATCTGTACTGGGATAACTGGGATGCTACTACTTACGGATTTCTTCAGCAGTTTTCAAACTCACCAGCAGCAGAACCATTTGATGCCAAAGCGTCTGTTTCTGGAATCTGTACAAAAAACTTTGGATGCTACTACTTACGCATCTCTACTACAGTCTTCATACTAACCAGTACCAGTACCATCGGACGCTAAAAGAACTATCGAGCTTAAAAACCGCGGAGAAAACTCAGATTCTGATGCCACAAATATTAGTCTAATTGAAGATCATACGGTTGAAACTGCAATGGATGTTATTATCTGCCCAGAACTACCTCGGACGGAGCACTTAATCATGCTGAAATCAACACAAGGACAAAATCAGGTAAAAGAAAGAGGAACAAAGCAGTGAAGAAATCTTTTATAGCCTTTTTGTTCGACGAGGAAAAACTAAACTTTTCATCGGGTAGTTCTGACAATTGGTCATGCGAGGAATCAGACTCGAGCAGTGGTGAAGAACACGTCGCCAATAAGATGAAGAAGAAAACAGTTAAGAAACGTGCCGGTGTAAAATCTGGGGAAAATGAACAAACAAGAAAAAAGAAGAAGTCAGTTAATAAACGTAAAACTACTAAGATTTAAAAGATACAGAAAAAACTTATGAAAACAAGAGTAGAAAACTTGTACCGGATAAAAAATGAAACCTAATCCATGTATTAACATCTCTGAAGAAAGGCGTACTTCTTTGCATCAACATTTCTGGAGTTTAGACACTCAATGTAGATGGGATTGGATAGTACGTTGTTCTCAGTTAGTTCCCATAAAAAGTAGAAAAAAGGAAAGTTCATCCAATCGAAGAAACGCAACGTACAATTATTTAATTAACCATGCCGAAGGCCACAAACAAGTGTGTCAGAAAGTTTTGCTCGATACACTAGACATCACTCAAAAATACACTTACACCGTATCACAAGCTACCAGAGGGTATATAGCCCAAAAAGATAATAGAACACCCAATGCTTCACCAAAATATACAGAAGCTGTAAAAAGTTACGTGAGCAGCTTCATTGAAAAACTTCCTGCAGTGCCGTCGCACTATAACAAAAAAAGGGCTAACAGAACGTATCTCCCACAAGAACTGAAGAACGTAACAAACTTTTATCGTATTTATTTAAAAGATCGCAATGAAACCGGCGAAGAAAATGTTAGTGAGACTGTATTCAGAAGTATTTTTAGGGAATATAATATCAGCTTCCATATTACAAAAAAGACAAGTACATAACATGTATCAACGCTGAAAACAACAAAGAAACGATGACTGATATTGACAAAGAGTCTATGAATGCACATATTGAAGAAAAACATGCTACAAAACTGAGATTCAAGATCCATCAAAATCTGAGGACATTAAATAATGAAATAATCTTTTCTAGTTTTGACTTACAGAAAGTCTTAAACACGCCCCATGGGGAAAGTATACTGCTATATTATTCTCATAAATATGCAGTTTACAACTTAACATTTTATGAAAGTGGTACACAGGATGTTTATTGTTACACATGGGGAGAGTGTGATGACAAACGTCGGAGCAATTAAATAGCTACTTGTCTATTGAAGTATCTAGATGTGATGGGCAGAAAAGGGACAAAGCACCTAATACTGTACTGCGACTCATGTAGCGGCAAGGTGTAGCCAAAATAAAAATAAAACAGTGCTGGTTGCTGTGAACCATTTTATCAAGACTGCCACTAATTTAGAAGTGATACAACTTAACTACCTGCTGCCAGGGCACACTTATATTCTGTAGATGCAGTACATGCAGTGATAGAAAGAGAGGTCAAAAATCTAATAGGTTTATGCTCCTTCGCAATGGGCGACCTAATTTGAATCCGCCCGCAAAAGACCAGGGCCATACAAAGTTCATTTACTAGATTACACAGATTTTCTTAACTTAGACGACCTAGCTGCAAATACATTCACATCAGCAACAATAAAAAACTAAAATTTTACGTGGTAGAGCTATGCTGCAGCTATAAGTTGTAGCATGAATGGGTCGGCTCGACCGGGGAAGGGCCACGCTCTCACAGAATACCAGCGTAAAATAGCAGCTTAATGCTGCTGTGTTTCGTATGGTGAGTGTAGAGAACCGGAGACCTTTTTACTTGTAGTCCTCACGAGTGACAACGCATCTGCTTTTTGATTCTTTATAGAGGATAAATGTAGATGTCTATGGGCCACAGCAACCACTTACCATCAGGTGGACTGTGTGCTTGATTGTCACTCGATCCTATAAAAAAAATGCAAACAAGTAAGAATCGCCACATTTAAAAAGAAACATCCAAAGCAAATGTTTGTTAAATACTCGATGAAACAAGAATCAGTCTCTCATACAGTAATTTTATGTGAAAACATATCAAGGAAAGGAAAGGAACGAAAAGGGAAAGTACAGACAAAAGGGAAAAAAGACAAGCAAATAACAGATAACGAGGAAGCAAATAGGGCGTTTTAACGGCGGGCGTAATTAAAAATAAGTAGTACGAAATACCGAGACCTAATACGTTTTTGTGATACTGGAGCCATTCGAAAAAGATTTCGCGAAGAATATCGTTAACTTCCACACGACTCCAACGTACGCGAGACTTTAAATGAAACCGATGATGAAGAGGAAGACTATGAAAGGAAGATAGAGTAAGCTTGAGTAAAATTTTTGGTAGAGTCTATTGTTTCACTTTTGAATAAAAAATATAGTAATTTTCTATTACTGTTTTAGATAATTAATAGACTCAGGCGTTACTTTGCGGAAATTCATTATAATAGGGTTGTTATTAACTAATTTGCTTAATTCCACGTAAAGAAAGAAAATGATGTGTCCTGCCCAGTTTTAAGGGGACCTCCCACCCTCCCTCAATCGTCGCCCGTCGTAGTTTTCCATCGGACAACGGAGTTCCGTTTGACTTTTGTTGTTCGTACATGATTTTTATACCCTAGTAAAGTCTTTTTTTTATAGTAGGCGGCAAACGAGCATGCGGCTCACCTGATGGTAAGTGACTACCGCCGCCCATGAATAACTGTAACACCAGGGGAACCAGGGGAATTGCAGATGCGTTGCCGGCCTTTTAAAAAGGAGTAGGTTCTTTTCTTGAAGGTCCCTAAGTCGTATCGGTCCCGAAAAATATACTACTATAAAATAAAATGCAAATGGCCTTTACCATTTTCTACACATGCTAGTTTTAGAGGGGTGTAAAGAAAATTTTTTTTTGGTCGTATAAGAATAGTTATTTCTGTAACGACTAGGCAGAGGCATTTTTAGATAGTACATGAAAATACAATTAATTCGTAGAACTTTTGCCATAGATTACATTTAGGTAGCACTAAAATTAAAAAATATATAGGCGAAATTATTTTTTTAGTTTTTTCGTCCTGAAAATTCGTGTTTTGTGCTATACGCCCTTTGAACCCCTCTATATCAACGTCGCGTCCGCAATATTGCACTAAAATAAATAATATACCCCCCCCCCCCCTATTTTTATAGCTTTATTGAACTCGAAGCTCTGAATTCGATAAAGCTGTAAGAGCCGCATATTAATTAATGCTAACAGCATTAACGTCATAGAAACTAGACTTTGATATTGTGATTTAGACTTCGGTGCGGCGTTTCGTTAGTGGCGCGACGACAGCGCTGCCACAATAATTCATCTGTTTTTGGTTCTTAATAATGTGTTCAACATACATTCCTCTATACACTTTTTATGGTGTCTACGAGCCACTGCATCAGCTCCGCGATGTTAGTACCTCATGTGCGGAATTTCGATTGACCAATTATACCATCTGAAAGGTCAGAAATTGGTCATAATAGGTCAGTTGACCTTAATAAGGCGCAGGTTGAGCAAAATGTCGCGCTAGTCGTTATTTGTGTGGTTTTAGGAGCTATCTACTTTTTATTTGAAAGATATATCAACAAATAAAAAACACATTATATTTCTACATAATCTTGATTTCATAAAAGCTATATCCAATTTTTTTTAAACGAACAAATATTAATATAATCTCCTTACAACGAAACCACATAAATGTGAAATTATTATTGATAACATGCATCTCCTCGTAAAGTAAGTATTATTTTATTTTGCGATTTACACCAATGGATAGCCAATTTATTAATGAACATTTTTATTATAAATTTTTTTTCAAAAGACCAAAATTTAATTATATTAAGAAATTATTTTAAAATTTGGCGTATTCACTGCCCACGGGTTTGTTAGTTTATTACTTTTTAGGTTATTTATAGGTAGTATTATTTGTTTGTTTTGGGTATAATTTTTTGTATTAGTTATACGAGGGCTGATCCAAAAGTAATGATAATGAAAATAAAACACGGTAATTAAAGTTAAAATAATAATTTATTTTTCTACATAGTCTCCTAACAAATCAATACATTTAGTCCATCTTTTTTCTAAACCCAGGATTCCCTTTAAAAAAAATTCTTTGTCTTGACCCTCCCAAAACGCTTCAACAGCGGCCATTACTTCGCTATCGTCTTCGAATTTCTTGCCTCGGAGGCGTTCTTTGAGCCGAGGAAAGAGGTAGAAATCACTAGGAGCTAGATCTGGCGAATAGGGAGGGTTTTCGAGCAGTTCGAATCCCGTTTCTTGAATGGCAGCCATCGCAACTGCGGCTTTGTGAGCCGGTGCGTTGTCTTGGTGAAACAGCACTCAGGCTCGCAGTTTGCCGCGTCTTTTTTCCTTAATGGCCTCCCGTAATCTTCTTATTTGGTCTGCGTAGTAAGAGCCCGTAACAGTGGCTCCCTTTTCTAAATATTCCACCATAATTATGCATTGAGCGTCCCAAAAAACAGATGCCATAACCTTTCCCGCCGAACTTGAAACTTTGAATTTCTTTGGCGTCGGTGAGGAGGCTCGCTTCCAAGTCATCGATTGTTGTTTCGTTTCAGGATCAAAATGGTGGATCCAGGTCTCGTCCATAGTCACAAAACGGAACAAAAAATTTTCTTGATCTGCTTGGAACTTTTCGAGATTGACCCTCGAAATGTCAACTCGATTTTTCTTTTGCTCGTCGGTTAACATTCTGGGTACCCAACGCGCAGAGACCTTTTTCATATGCAACTCGTTCGCAAGCATTCTTTGAACGCTGCCATATGAGATCCCTGTGACCTCAGCTACATGCCTGATGGTCACTCTTCGATCTGCCAACACATCATCTTCGACTTTTTTCACGTTGTCTTCAGTGAGGGACGTGTATGGGCGTCCTTCGCGATGTTCATCTTCAGTGGATGTTCTGCCCAGTTTTACAAGGAGTTTACCTTGGCCCAGCGTGCAACTGTAGAATATGGAGGAGCAGAGTCCCCCAATGTTTCCACTAAGTCACTGTGTATGTCTTTTGAAGACATTTTTTTCAAACAGAGGTACTTGATGACTGCTCTAATTTCGTTTTTCTCCATGTTGATGTTATCTCTTTGACAGTTCGTATTCAAATGAATGTATCTCCCGGAAATCGTGATCTATTTATATGATTTTTTTAGGCTGACGTAGTGAGTATATAAGCAAGCAAAAAAAATTTTTTTTTGGATTTTTATGCGGACCTGAAGTAACCGATTATCATTACTTTTGGATCACCCCTCGTACATATATTAGTTATGTTTTTTACTGCGCGATGAAGCTTTTTGCGTGTATTTTTTTTTGAAGTAAATGCAAATAAAAAAAATGAAGCACCATTAGCATGTAAGGTTCGAATCCATAATTAACATTTCGACAAATATTATAATTTACACTATAAAAGGCTAATTCAATATTATCAGTATAGTATACAGTTAAAAATAATCCTAATATCCAACCACAATATCTTATTAGGTATAGTACTGCCTCGTTGGTCTAGTGGTTGTAGTAGTGCGACTGCTGATCATGAGGTCCCGGGTTCGAATCCTGGTTCGGGCCAAAAAGTCAGTTATGAGTTTTTCATTTATGTTCTAAGTTATAATTAGTATTACTAAGTTATAGTTTTTTGCTAAAATGCTATTATTTATTGCTTGTTTTTTCTTCTTTTTCAAAAAATAATTGAGTGCATAAGGTGTTCTATACTTATAATTCGGTAAAAAGTATCTAAGTAGGTACTAATATACCTAAACTAATTTAAAACTAAATTTAACTAAAAAGACTAAACTGACCGTTTATTTTTTAACTCAAAACAGGACATGGGTTTATTTATACTCTAAAAACTATAACTTTATACAAATAAAAAAATATGTTGCATTTAAACATATTTTTTTTAAATTATTAATTACATTTGTAAGTGGATTAAATTTGCTTTAATAAAGTTGGTGATGATTTTAAATAAGAATAAAATTCTGCTAAAGTTTTTTTATTGTTATCTTTGTTAACAACATCGCCTTTAGAACTCTGGAACCGTAAGTGTTTCTTTCAGACGTCCACAATTTATTCAAAATAAAAAAAATACTCTTTCTACCGGAGCATTTGTACCAGGTAGACATAAAATATATTCGTTTAAAAAAAATTATGTTGAAGATTGTTGACTTTGAATACTTCATCCAACGAGTTACGGGACAATTTTGTGTCCCGGAGCTTTGTTTGGGGACAATGGGACAGGTGACCGAGAAAAGGGACAGTCCCGTTCAAAACGGGACGTATGGTCACTTTAGCTATAACCCGGCGACGGCTCCGTGGCGCAGTGGCTTAGCAATCAGTTGTTGCGCTGGGGGCCGCGGGTTCGAATCCCGCACGGAACAAGTATTTGTATGGCCTACAAATAATTGTTCCGTGTGTAGATGTTTGTCCTTGTGCAATTTATGTTTGTAAACTGCGACACAGGATAAAATCCTAGTGTTGGGATTTTTTTACAATTGGAATTGAAAGATTGAACCCTTATACTTCTTGTTGATTTTTGTATTACCTTTATTAAAGTTACCCTTATGTATAAATAAATATAATTACGTATGTAGAAATAAAATTGATTTTCATCCTCATCAATCATTGGGGTGAGGATAATGTCTGCCAGCATAAGTAATAAGCAGGCTAAGTTACAAGGTGCTCAGATCAAAAATTTGTAGGTAGGTATGTTACTTTTCAATACGTGACACGTAAAAATTAACAATAATCAAAAACACATCTGCGAAACATCCTATTTATTTATTTATTCTTTATTGCACCAAATATTTGTACAAAAGGCGAGCTATCTATTTATTTACCTATAGTGAATAGGTATCTTTTAAACTCACAATTTTCAATGCTTCATTTTTAATATATAATTAATTATAAAATTTCATAATTAGATAATATATGAAAATACATAATTCTAATATAATGCAAATAATATACCGAATAAAAAAATTAAAATACATTTATCGTTGTACGCTGTGTGTATTTCCATAAATCAGTTTATTGATGTTGAAAAAATAATACTACGTTCGTACATACAATAGGTGGCGTCTTACATATTTCATAAGCAATATATTTTAAGCGAGCGGCGCGCCGCCGGCCAAATACTCAAGGTCGTTCGCATGGAGTAGGCCCTTAATTGGTCAGCGTTAGAGAATTTTTTATTAAGGGTTAAAGTTTTTCAAGGTCAAAAAAATAGTTTGAGTTACAATTAACCGTCCCAAAGCATGCGCGTTACGACAATGCCAACTTATTTAATTTTTTTAATATTAAATTTAATTGACCAAATATTTATATAAGCTGACCAATTATCAGCGAATGCTTCTCGCTCGCGCATATTTTTTATTCTTTTCGCGAAAGAGGTGCTAAAATTTTTCCAATGACCTTGAAAAAGTTTAACCCTTAATAAAAATGTTTCTAACGCTGACCAATTAATAAGATCAACTGACCTTTTATGACCAATTTCTGACATTTCAGATGGTATAATTGGTCAATCGAAATTACGCACATGAGATGCTAACATCGCGGAGCTCATAAGTTCACTATGTGCTTGTTTGTCACTCTTGTATAAAAAAAGCTGCTGTTAGTAGCATTAACATTAAGTGGCAACACTATGTTGTCTATGCTGTGTTCGTTTCCCTATTAAGTTTTCCTATAAAGATATTAATAAAAAGTGCCCGCATATTCTTGAACAGTCATATACCCTCAAAATCATAGCAGGAATATTTTAAGAGCGAACTATTTTCAGGTGATGGAGTATTATATCGATTTAAGACATTATTGGTTGGATGGCTACGGACATAATTTATCATATCGTCAAGCTTGCATCTTAATGAAGATTATGTTTGAAAGGTTTAGGTGAGTGCTAATATATTTATTATAAAATACTCAGATCATAGAAACAACAGGAGATATGGCAAGGAGGCGTGGCGCTTGCGAACGCATCTGGCCGCAAAGCGGCCTGATGCCAGTTTCAGTAATTAGTCGAATGTCAACTTGCGACGTGTTTACTGCTCATGATTTTTGACAAAATGCCGCGTTGTTCAGAGATCGTTTGCAAAACTAACAGCTATATTGTGAGTTACATGAAAGATGGCATCTCATTTCACACGTAAATACTAAAATATTAATGTTTTTCTTATTAAATTCATTAAAACATAACTTCGTGGTACTAGAAACACGACGAAAAACCAAAAAAAATGTTTTCATTAGAAACAAAAACCATTGCTTGCTTAGTACACATCGGCTAGTAAATCGGCTGGTCTAATAGCGCAATGGATAAGTGTTTTACTGATACTTTCACTCAAACGATAGTTTCGAGAAGCGGCCGCTGCCGGATTTTGTGAGTTAGAGATGTAATGTGATGTTTGTGGTTGTCGATATTTTATACGATTCTGCTAAGTACGAATGATTATGCATGATACTATTAATTACTTGTAAAACATAATTTGTTACTACAGTGTAAGTAACTGCGCATGGCGTTATGGCGTTAAATGGAGATAAGAAAAATGAATATTGGTAATGGTATTTAACTTCTATAAAGCTTCCAAACGGTAAAAAGGCTATCAGTACACACAGAAAAACCGGTTTTATTAGCTTTTTAGTGTACACAGAAAGCCTCAAGGCATTGTATATACAACTAGTTAAAAAGGCCATTGTATTGATTAATATTGTTGAACCACAATATTAATTATAATTTATTTATTAATATTTTGTTTTAACTACATGTTGTACATTTTTATTATAATATTTTGTGGACATATCGTTCTTTATTTATTTTACTTTATTATCATGACCCCAAAAAATCTTTAGTACAATTATAAATAGAAGAATCGACAACTTTCCGATTTAGTCAATCACTAGCGTCTACGTAAAATCCATGCCTTTTGCACAGCACAACGATAGAGACAGATGTTTTTGGATGAGTAAGTCGTACGGTTCATGGTAAATGCACGCTGTGTATGATAGGATAAGGTTTATAATTGGTTGTGTTGTACGTTCTGATTTATTAAATGCGGATGTGTGCGCGATTGTGTATCTATTGATTTTACTGAACTGCATGTGTAGTAGTTGGCGAGTGGCGGGGACAAACTGGCGACAACAGGTGCCGATACATTTTAATGTACCGGGCATATCTCCTGTTGTTTCTATGATCTAAGATAAAATGCATATATAATTTAATGTGAACCTTAAATTATGAATAATTTAAACTTGATTTAGTATCAATCTAATGGCTTTGTGTCAAGCACAGGAGCTTTATTTGTGGTGTATAAATGACATGATTTAATGCTCCCGTTCCCGTCATCAGACAAACAGGCGCTCGGACCTCGGAAGTTTTCCATCCTTTTTGCTTTGAATATACTGAGAATAAATTGGAATAGAATATTTTTTTATTCATCATACATTACGAAGCGAAGAGTTTTGTTTTGTCATTATAAATGTGAAAAGTGGGAGTTCGGTACGAGCAATGTTTGGGATTTTTACTTGGCTGACTTGTTTGTTCCGAATTTGGCCCCCTCTACGTATTTAGTTTTTGTGTGATATCATTGATTTTTGAAGAAAACATTTATCCTTTTATTAATCTAAATAAATATATGGTATTCTAAGCAATCTAGAAGTGACTTATGCACTAATACTCAAACGCTACTCAATTTTAAGACGCCGTCAAGTCTCGTGGTGTCACGTCAAAGTGACTTAATGTGATAGAGATAGAGAGAGATTAGATTTTTAACGAGTTAGAATTCGTTAGCTGTAACTGTATTCGCACAAAAAAAAAAACAAAAAAATATCTACATTTAACTTCAATTTATTTTATGTTAATGTAATAAAACCTTTGCAGAAGACAATGAATGAGAAGAACAAAATGAAGAGAATTTTGATTTTTCTTTTATTCTCAATATTTATATTTGTATACTAGCTTCTGCACAAGGTTTTGTCCGCTTGGCAATAGAAACTGCTTCATGTTCATTAGCCCGCAGCAATGTAATCTTTTCGAATTTAAATTTTTTAATAGGAGAGTACTACCCTCTTACCTATTTTTGGTCCCAAATAGCAGTATGTACGTGCACAACTATGTTCCTGTCTGATGGGTATAGCGAGCCGGTGTGATTACAGGCTGTGAGGCATTCCATCTTAGTGTCCCCTTAGGTGACAACGCATATAACCTTTCTTGATTGAAGATGGCTGAAGGTGCCCATGGACTGCAGTAGCCACTTACCATCTACTGGACTTTTTTATATAAAAAAAACTATTTTTCATGATTTATTCATTAATTATAGAGAATTCCCCTTAGATTGCAACAACGGGGGATTTAGCCATAGTCAAAACACATGGTATAGTTTAACACATGTTTAACTATATAATGTGTTAATGACATGTTTTATCTCATCCAAATATGTTTAGCAATTTTTACTTGATTAAGTAAAAATATCTAAACATATTCACAAACTTTTACTTAATGTATACTAAATTAGTATTAAAATTATTATATTTTTTAAATTCACAGACGTAATGGGCCAGATGCAACATTTCTTTTTGCTCACTCTGGCACTCTCTTAAAGCTGTTAACCAAATTGCAACTTTATAAGTCGGAGCGTCCTCTAACTGGAGATGAGATGGACAGGAACAGAAAATGGCGGGCTTCTGAAATCGATTGTTTTGCATCGAATTTAGCTTTTGTGTTATATAAGTAAGTTGTTACAGATATCTTTTTTAGATTTACTTGGCTCCTGTTCACACCAACAAAGAAAGATAGACGGAGTGCTGCTTGCGTTACAAGTGACGCCGAAACTAAGCCAAAGTCATGCTCTCCTTATTGAAAGAACACACATTCATGTACATACGCTGTTAAGACTATAATAAAACTCGAATTCGATGAGATGATGTTATAATTTCCAAAAAATACAACGTTGTCTTACAAATGTTATGTTTTAGTATTCAATTAATTTTATTTAAAAACGATATGAAAATAATTGCATTACTTGTGTGTACGCCACGGATAGCGTCAGTCGTTTTTTTTGTGATTACTTGAAAAATACGACTTGTAAGAAAATTAATTTTCCACTTTTATTTATTTATTTAACCGAGTCTTATTATTACGAAATTATTTTAATTGTTTGCAACATTTCGCCAAAAAACAAAGAGGACGCCATCTCGCCGACGTCAGTGTGTTGATGATGATGACGATGATGACTACTCAGACAGCGATGCAGAGATGAGCGGAATTGAAGTGCCAGATTTCGATTAAAACTTTTTCTTTTACGGTTCTTTTGTATTTATTTGTAAATAAACATTATTTAAAACCACCAAATACTCCAGCGATCAGCAATCTGTTATCTAAGCAGAGCCATGGTATTGGATGATTAATGCTGTAATCAATAGTGTTATATTATATTAGAAGATAGTGGGTCTATTTTTTAGTTAGGAGTTCATCTAGGTTTCCATTCTTATTTCTATTTCTGTTGTTTCGTAGCTGTATACCATCTGTGTGAATCAGTTTTAATGGTGTAGAAAGCCAGCTCTAATTATAGAGCCTAAGAGACTTTTTATCATCGTCCTGAGCGATGTTTAACACATGTGTAACACACAATTAAATATGAATAAATTTAGAAATAGCATGGTAGACATCACCTCATTCCCAGGAGTTATTGTCAATCATATACTTCTTAGAAGTATTAAATAAATTAATATTAAATAAATTTTTGCTTGTATGTATTTTAAGGTGCAGTAGCTACAAGCTGCGCTTGCCATGTCTTTCAGCTCGTTTGTCTATTTATACAAAGCCAAATCTAAGAAATACCTTTTGACAGCAGTCACATTTATTGAAATTTCAATTCAATAAATGTGACATTCCAACTTGATTCCAACTCAAAGATCGGTACCTACACTATTCGATTCTTAAAAGAAATCGATATCGATTCTTTAGAGTTGTTAATCATTAAGAAAATTTTGAATTAAAAACTATTAAATAGTATTTTTGTTGTCAGATGTAAAGATGGAGATCACATATTGACTATGCACCAAGAGCGAATCGTCAAGTTACCGATGTGTGATAAGGAACTTTGTCCCTTAACTACATTATGGAACTACTTTCGAGAATCTATTAATGATTGTGATATAAATGATATGTGCAGACTTAACTGAAGTCTATGTGTGTATGTACCTTAGCATATATAATAACATAATATACTTCAAATGTATATAAATTTTATAATTTTGTGATGTGTCAATTATTACCAGTTGTTTATAACAGTGAGAAACGGGTTGGTTAATCTTATTGCTGAAATAAAAAAATTGTAAAACTAAAACTTGAAGTTTGTTTGTAATTAATTTCCTACATAAGAAATATCTTTTTACATCTATGTTTTGGGTTCTGTATATGAAGAAGGCGTCTGTTTTTACGCAAATATTTATATCCCATGTTGCCTTTTCTGACATTTTGTTCCTGCCTTTATACATCATAAATTTGAACTACAAGTACTCACGTTTCTTACTAGCTCTTAAGGGATATAAACGGCAGACTTAATAATTTATGGTATTCTTTACCAGTCAACCCTGGATGCCTTGAGAAACAAGATGCAAAGAGTTCATTAAATGAAATGAGATATAAAGATTTATTTATTTATTTAATATTCTTTATTGCTCACCATACATAAATTACAGAAATTATATATATAAAAGAAGTATGCAATGGGCGGTCTTATTGCTGACAGCAATTTCTTCCAGACAACCAATGAATGGACAGGATTGCACGAATATGACAAGGGCAGGGCAAATTGGTGTGATACAGAAAAAAACGCACGCACGCACGCACGCACACACGCAAACGCACTATATATTGAATTATTTATTTAATTAAATGAAATCGATATGCTACATATAATATTATACCTATTTAATGGTTAGTGTGGAAGTGAAGTTAGAATTTAAAGTTCTTAACTAGTTTTTTAAATACCGGTAGGGATGTTGCGCGTTTTACTGACAATGGGAGTTCATTCCATAAATGAACGGCCTGTACAGTAAAATACTTGTTCATAAATTTTCTAGTGTATAGTGGCAAATTCGACTTCAAGCTCTCTGCTGATCTCAAGTTATGCAAATGGGAATCACGAAGAAAGTCATAACGATTTTTGAGGTAAGAAGGGTAAGAAGGATTAAAGAGAACACTATAGAGAAGATTAAGTATGTGAGCATTCCGATGAAGTCCTATTGGCAACCATTTGAGCTTAGTACGAAAAAGAGAGACAAGGTCATATTTGCACAATCCAAATATAAACCTTATGCAAAAATTCTGAATTCGCTCAGGTTTATTGAGCTGAGCTTCGGTGAGATCTAGATAGCTGACGTCTGCGTAGTCAAAAATAGGGAAGAGAAAGGACTTGGCAAGCATAGTTTTGTTGGAAATGGGAAGAAAGTTACGTAATCTACGCAAGGAGGCTGCCGAGGCATAAACTTTTCGATTAATTTCTTTGATGTGCTGTCCCCACGACAGATTCTTATCTGGATACCTAAGTTCTTTACTGAATCTCTGTAAGGAATAATAGTTTTACCAAATACTATAAGAGGTAGGTAATCTAGGCTCGACTTAGCCAACAATTGCGCGCTGCCCACGATAATGCCTTACGATTTTGCTGGGTTAACGTGAAGGCCGTATGCATTACTCCACTCAAGAATTCGATCGAGATCTGCATTGTTGACATTAATAGCATTGGGGACATCGTTGGGACAAGCCTTTGTATATATATGTAGATCATCTGCATAAAGGTGGTAGGAAGAAGTTAAATTATTGGATATTGAGTTTATAAAAACCGCAAAAGTAAAGGAGATAAAACTCCTCTCTGCGGTACACCAACACGTACATTACACCAAGATGATAATGTATCGTCGATACGTATACGTTGCTGGACAGACATGCGACCAGACAGGTAACTCCGAAACCAACCAATCGCTGTTGGAGATACGTTAAGAGATCGTATTATGCCGAGTAGGACATCATGGTCAACGGTATCTGGGGGCACGGCAGTGCTCCCGCCAAGTCGAGCAAAAAAGCGGCACGGCCGCACCATCCTTTTCTCGAAGCAGCTCAGGCCATTTTCAATCCCCTATAACTTCGTTGTGGATAAAACTAGAAGCCTGAATTCTCAGTAACCAAGCATGCATTGTAAATACACAGTATATTTCAAATTCCATTCAATTCGAACCAGTAGTTTAAGAATTATAACTAGTTAAAGTTTCTTAATTTTGTCACTCACTGACTGACCGATCATCAAATCTCTAAGGCACTTTTAGCAGACGTAGAAGCTTCAAATTTAGAATACAATTGGTGTTTAGTATATAAATCAAGGAAAAACTAAAATACTTTGTAATTTCGGTCCAGTTTTTTAGATACACCAACTGCATAAATTCTGAACGACTATGCATGGTGAGAGCGCTCAAAAAACCGCACCCACCATGTTTCCGCGGCAAGTAAAGCCTAATTACTGACGATCCCGGGTGAAGCATCCTTATTATATTATTATTATTGTATTACTAACCCACAATTGGATTTTAATTATCTGAAATAAAGAATTTATTTATTATAAACTTTATAATGTCGGGATTATATACTATCTTTGTTGTCATAATAATAATAAGTATTATTATTACCATATACTATATACCATTTGATTAGTTTGGTAAAAATATTAATGCTGCTTATCAAAATTTCAATGTGGAGAACAAACTCGTACTATATGATTATATAATTTTTTTGTGTTATACGCTATATCTTAAAGTATTATTTTTTAACTCAAATAGCCTCTTTATTTGCAATTTTTATACTCGTCTTCTTTTGTAGTAATAGTTTAATATACTTTAATTTGTTTATAAAGTGCTTTCATCTAGTGTGTGCTTGTGTGTTTCATAGGATAAATTGTGGCTAAACAGTGGTTATGTCAATTTTCTGCCTTTTTGCGAGTTACTAGCAGCGAGTGTACTGTATTTGATATGTTTTTTATTACACCTATTTTCATATAGTGCTGCTTATATTTATATAATTATTTTTATTTTTAGTTACATAAATCCACTTTATTTTATTGTTTAAATAGAAAAAAAAACACTGATATATTATGCTAAAAATGTATTAAATATTATATACATAAATATATATTTTTAGAAACTATTCCACTTCTGATGTTAGAAATTATTCTCAAATTATTTAAATAAAATAATGTTACTCGTATTAGAATTTACTGTGAAGGTTAATTGTTAAAAATAATAAAAGTGTGAGAGCGGATGTTCAACTTGCTCTCTTGCTTACGCAATTGATCGTTATCAGGAATAAGACAGCGTACAGCACTTCACATCAGTATAGAGCAAATACAGTTCAACCAACCGTAATATGTACCAGACACAATCACACATTGGTGTAACGTGAAGGACATAATTACATGATAACACCAAAGTATGCAAAGCAACAGCTACACTACTCCTCTCGATGTAACACCGGGCAGCCTCTCAGCAACACGATCTTTCGTGCTTACACTAGAAGAACTACTACACGAATAGAATCGCATCACTTGTCTTATTTGGGCAGAATCTTAGTGTAGAAGTAACGTTCTAGCCCAACGGGCATAATAACGATATAGATTTGTAGAATTACAGACCGACTGATCCCTCTTAGTCGACTGCGTGATGCTTTATACTGCTAAAACAAGTGGGAGATTATAGTTCTACCTTCAACATTTCTTATTTTCTTTTATTATTTTGCCCTTATTCCTAACACGGCCTTTCCTGACAATTCACACGTCCCCGTGTGAAGCCGAGAGTAACTTTAATGTAGCTTTAATGTAACTTTACCGTCTCGGCCTTTTCTGACCATGAAATACATAGATACTAAGTTTTTGCAGAATTGAAAACATCGTTCAAATCAGATTTTAGTATACAACTTCATACTAGAGCTTAACACACGCACACTGCACATATCGCACTATACACTGAAGACGCAGGGCACCCAGCTAAACGCACTCCAGCAAGCGGTTCCGCTGCGTCCAGCACTCGCGCAGCACACGCGCCAGCGGGCAGTCGCGTAGCACTCGCACTAGCGAGCCGTCTCGGCGCACTCGCACTAGCGAGCTGTCTCGCCTTCAATACTGTAGGGATAGGCACCAAGTTTGCATACCCCTCAGTGGCCCTCAGTGGCTGTTGACATACATAATTAGCGTTAATTAGTACCTGAAACCTTTTTCATATTGGATTTTACTACAAGTAGTTTTTATGTAAAATTTTGAGTACACGACAGTCCAAGCAAAGGACATGGAAACAATTACGTTAGATGCACAAGCGTGCACTCAAGTACATCCAACACTGATTTCATAAAATAGATGACTAAAGTAATTGATTGGAATAGATGTAAAAAGTTCCAGGTGCATGAAACAAATAAATAATCTGCTTTGTAAAATTAAAAATTAAAAGAAATGAAGATAAATGTATTGCGAACCATAAAATTCCAGACTTCTAAGATTCACCACACATTGTCATAAGAAACGCTAAACGTTAACTGTCTGCAAGGCAGTCACAAACCACTACACACAACATTGCAAAAAGGAAGCTGCATGTAAAGGCGTAGGCCAGGCTGTGCGCCAGTAACAGACGGCGACGCGCCCAGCGCGGCCGCAGCGCGGCGTTGCCGCGCCCGCGCTGCCACACGTAGAACGGCAAGCGCAACACGACACAATGGACACACATCACATTCCATAGGTAGCCGCCATAAGGCAAGCGCACGTGGCTATTACAACAGGGGTCGGGTCGGGTAGTTGTCGTGATCTGTGTGAAAAACAAGTTCTTAATTACAAGGACAATATACACCGTTGCCTATTCTCTCATCCATCACGCATACGAGGCCCTCAAACAGAAATACGCTCTCATACCGCAGACTATAATAAAGAACTTCGCTTGCACACGTATGCATACATCTCCATACAAAGTATCTCACACATACTCGTACTTCAACTTGCAAGTTCCCACGTTAACGACGTGAACCAGGACAGCGCCTGCCAGGGCAGCGCCTGATGCATGTTCAGAAAACACGACTTCCGCGCACACACGCATAGCACACAGCGCCCCAGGACAGCCCCTGATGCATGTTCAGAAAACACGACTTCCGC